GTGTGTGTGTGTGTGTGTGTGTGTGTGTGTATGCATCACCTTGTGTCCTGCAGACACACTATGAGATATGATATTTTTTATCCCTCAGCTACCCATCATGTTTGCTATACTTCTTTTTTCCAATTGCAAGGGCAATGCCTTTCAATGGCTGCAGACTCAGGCACCTGTCCCCCATGTATGTTTTTCTTTTGTCTCTCTTGGATGGGTTGTACTGAAACAAATTTCATTGTGCTCTGTACAATGACAAATAAGGCATTCTGATTCTGACATAACCTACATTTAAACCAACACACACACAAAAAAAAAAAAAAAAACTGACCGGAGGTCTGTTTACTATCCAGTAAGCCCTTTCTTGGCAGTCAAGGACTACTCGGTCTGACTTGTTCCTGTCTCTACTAGCCCTGGAACACATAGAAAAACAAGTTAGGTGAAGGGGTCAGGTTTAGCTGATCTACCTGTAAATTCTTCTAGAATTAGTTCAGCCAACTAATGTACTAAATACAGTACATTTTTTTGCAGTATGAAATAGAATAGAACATAGAATATATGTATTTTATTGTCCCCTGAGGGAAATTTGTTTTGGGCAAAGTGATACACGGTTGTGAATAAAAATATCAAAACAACAGACAAGGATAAAACTCGAAATCAAAGCAATTAACGCTTTGACTTTCTGCTTTTGTGGCTCATACTATGAAATCTTAATTGAACTGATTGGCTGGACTTATTCTGCTAAAGGTGGCATCAGCCTAAAGTTTTGATTCAATTCTTTCTTTATTTTTATTTTTATTGTTAATGGTGTCTAAAATCTTCATGTCATAAAATTAATGCAGGCTTGGTAAAATATGAATATACAGTATGTTTGTTCCTTATACTGTGATTACAGAGCCCTGAGACAACTTTGGTTGGTAATTTCAGAAACACGTACTTGTACTGTTCAGTAGCTTGCATGACAATGAAGTCCCATTTGTGGTTCAGCCAATCATGAAGGTGGCTGTAATGTGCCTGGTGAAAAGAAAAATGAAATAACTGTTACCGTTAGCTGTTATACCAAGGAAAAAGCTAATATAAATATAATGTGCACATGTACCTGTTCATAGGGCTCAAGTATGC